AAAGCCTACATAACCAACCAAAGAACCTACCTAACCTAACCAACCAAAGAAACCTACCTAACCTAACCAACCAAAAAACCTACCTAACCAACCAAAGAACCTACCTAACCTAACCAACCAAAGAAAACTATCTAACCTAACCAACCAAAGAAATCTACCTAACCTAACCAACCAAAGAAACATACCTAAATTAACAAACCAAAGAAACCTACCTAAAATAACCAACCAAAAAACCTTCCTAACCAACAAAAGAACCTACCTAACCTAACCAAGTAATCAAAGAATTCTACCTAACCTAAGAAACCAAAGAAACCTACCTAACCTAACCAACCAAAGAAACCTACCTAACCTAACAAACCAAAGAAACCTACCTACATAACCTAACCAACCAAAAAACCTACCTAATCAACCAAAGAAACCTACTTAACCTAACAAAACAAAGAAAACTACCTAACCTAACCAACCAAAGAAATCTACATAACCTAACCAACGAAAGAAACCTACCCAACCTAACAAACCAAAGAAACCTACCTACCTAACCTAACCAACCAAAGTAACCTACCTAACCTAACAAACCAAAGTAACCTACCTAACCTAACCAAACAAAGAAAACTACCTAACCTAACCGACTAAAGAAACCTACCAAACCTAACCAACCAAAGAAACCTACCTCACCTATCCAACCAAAAAAACATACCTAACCAACCAAAGAACCTCCCTAACCCAACCAACCAAAGAAAACTAAGCTAACCAACCAAAGAAATCTACCTAACCAACCAAAGAAACCTACCAAAATTAACCAACCCAAGAAACTTACCTAAATTAACCAACCAAAGAACATTCCTAACCAACCAAAGAACCTACCTAACCTAACCATCCAAAGAAACCTACCGAACCTAACCAAACCAAACCAAAAACCTACCTAACTAACTAAAGGGCCTACCTAACCGAACCAACCAAAGAAACCTACCTAACCTAACCAACCAAAGAAACCTACCGAACCTAACCAACCAAAGAAACCTACCTAACCTAACCAACAAAAGAAACCTACCTAACCTAACAGAGCAATCAAAGAAATCTTCCTAACCAACCAAATAACCTACCTAACCTAACCAAACAAAAAAAATACATAACCTAACCAACCAAAGAAACCTACCTAACGTAACAAACCAAAGAAACATACATAACCAACCAAATAACCTACCTAACCTAACCAACCAAAGAAACCTACCTACCTAACCTAACCAACCAAAGAAACCTACCTACCTAACCAACCAAATAACCTACCTAACCTAACCAAAGAACCTACCTAACCTAACCAACCAAAGAAACATACATAACCAAACAAAAACCTACATAACCAACCAAAGAACATACCTAAACTAACCTAAGAAACCAAAGAAAACTACCAAAACTAACCAGCCAAAGAAATATACCTAACCTAACCTAACCAACCACAAAAACTAGCCTAAGCTAACCAACCAAAGAAACCTACTTAACCTAACAAAACAAAGAAAACTACCTAACCTAACCAACCAAAGAAATCTACCTAATCTAACCAACCAAAGAAACCTACCTAATGTAACAAACCAAAGAAACCTACCTAACCAACCAAAGAACCTACCTAACCTAACCAACCAAAGAAACCTACCTAACCTAACCAACCAAAGAAACCTACCTAACCTAACCAACCAAAGAAATCCACCTAACCTAACCATCCAAAGTACTTACCTAACGTAACAAACCAAAGAAACCTACCTAACCAACCAAAGAACCTATATTAATAGGGTGTGTCATAGGAGGGAAGATCAGCTAAAACTAATGGCCCATCACTTTTTTCGTATATTTTAGTGTATATAAACAGAAAATAATTTCAGTTTCAATATTTTGCAACCTTTTGCTAGATAAATTTTAGCGTGAAATTTATCGAAAATCTAACATACAGCTGCATTAGTGCATTACAATTAAATAGTGAACATTGCTTTCTGACTTCATTCTTTAACAACCCAACTAACAATATTTTTTCTGTTTCAGATTCTGATGCATTTATAAGTTGATAATATTTGCGATGGCTGCTTGTGTCAGGACGAGGAACCAAAAATCCAGCCATCTCAGTCACTATCTTGGGTCTGGGAGAGAGCTCCTGAAGTCGGAGTTGCCTACATTGAGAGATGCTTTGAGATACGGTGTTTTAATCAGGCAAATCAGTGAAAAGAACCAAAGAACTTACACAAACAAAGACATTGCCAGTGATATGACCAACGCTGTCTTGGCACAGTACACTCTGGCTAACGCTCAGTTCAAGCCTCCAGTCATAACAAGTCAGAAGAAGATTAGTGAGAGACTGCTAGCCAGTTGGGAAAAGGCAAGAGATATCTCTCTTGGGAGAGGAAAACTTGCAGTTAAGGACAGCTTTGCCAAGCAACTGGACCAAGTTATTTGACATAATTACTTGCAAGTGCCCAATTGTTCTCTGTCCTGAGTTTGGATGCGATCGTGACTGTAAATCCGAGGCCCACATCTCCTGTATTTTAGCGTGAACTGAAGATTCCTGTGATCGAACTGGCATTTCGTCAAAGCACAGAGAGAAGGCTAGCTGGCAGTATAGGGGCTCTCATGATTTCTAGCCAAGATATTCGAGGAGTCAAGAGACGGGAGGCTACCACAGAGACAGAAGAGGAGAAAGAGTTGCGAGGAAAAGAAGGGCAGAAGGCCCAGGGGTGGAAGTAAAAGGCCCGATGATTGGAGTCAAGCTGATTCAAGAGTTTAATGAAGCTTCCCCATGGCTGATCGAGTGCTGACCAGGAGAATGGTGACTTTGTCCCTAACCCAGAAAATAATGATCCCAAACCTTCCAGGCATAAGATTCGAAATAGGAAAGATATCCCGAGCATAGCTCTGGCCAGCATGCGACACCACACTGGTCTCAGAGAAACTGCAGAGATAGCAACAGCTGCCTGGGTTGACGGTGGTTTGATAACACCTGATGATGTTCACCTGGTGATAGATCATAACAAAGTAAGGAGAGCTCAGGAGAAACTTGTCAGTAACCTAGAAGAGGAGTTTGATAAAGGGATAAGAGAAAATGGAATCAATTGTTTGTTCTTTGATGGGAGAAGGGATGACACTAAAGTGTTCATGAAAGTTGGAGATTCGACAAGTTGTTCCCTGCCATGGTGAAGGAGGAACACTACACCTGCTGCAGTGAACCAGGAGGGAAGTATTTGTGGCATTTCACTCCAGAGAAAGATGACATCAGGAAACCAGCTGAGATAGTGGCAGATAACATTGTGAACTGGCTCAGAGAGAGGAACGTAGACCAGACCCTGCAGACCATTGGAGGGGACAGCACCAACACGAACACAGGGTGGCAAGGGGAGGTCATACAGTGGATAGAGCGGAAGATTGGGAGGAAGCTGGCCTGGATTGTTTGTGACCTCCACACCAACGAGTTGCCACTCAGACATCTGATCCAGGAGCTGGATGGCAAGACTCTTTCAAACAACAGATGGTCTGGTCCTCTTGGCAAGATGCTGGACTCTGCCACTGAGTTAGAAATAAATCCGAGCTTTGAAAAAATCACAGTTGGCCCTCCACTCGTTGAGCTTGCACATACTGTCATTGGCGACCTGAGTGACCAGTACTATGGTTTCGTTTGCAGTGCCATCAAAACTGGGGTCATGCCTGATGAACTTGCTTACCTGCAGATAGGTCCAGTCTCACATTCTAGGTGGCTCTACAACGGCTCTCAGGTTCTGCAGAGATTTGGGTGGCTCATCATAAACTGAAAGGGAACCAGCTTCACAACCCACAGAGACTTATTGTCCAATTCATGGTGTGAGTGTCTACTTGCCAAGTGGTTCAACACCAAGGTCAGTCATGCGTTCTCCGAAGGTCGAGGCATGTTCTCTTCCAGCGAGCTCCTGAGGAGTCAGCCAAGGAAGGTTGTTCAGATTGTGGAGCAGACTGTGAGGAGATCTTCCTGGTATGCTCATCCCGAGGCAGTTCTGCAGACAATGCTCTGCACTAAGGATGAGGAGGAGAGAAGAGTGGCAGTCAAAAAGATCTTGGATATGAGACTTATGAGAGGATCTGGGCATGACGAATCAGTTGGTGACGATTCCTTCAGGGTCAGGAAGACTCCTGAAGACAATCTAGGTGCCAAGACCCTCACTGATCTCATAGATCTGGATAACATCCAGGCTGGCAGTGAGCCCCCTCTTACCTGTAGCCTCACCAATGTTCAAGTCAGAGCTTTCCTGGACAACCCCATGCATGTCCCTGCCTGGCCCTCGCACACCCAGAGTATAGGCGTTGTGTACAGCAAGTGGCCAGGCCAGCAGTCCGTGTGCAACCAGGAGGGAGGAAGGCTACATCGAGAGCTCCGGAGGGTCCTAAGCAGGGAGGTGATGAGTAGAAACAGAAGCAAGAAAGACATGTTGTTCTCTATGGTGTGCAGCAGCTTACCGAGATTAAGTAGTAGTAAAACCGGTTTTTGTATTTGATGATTTTGTTTTCTAAAGGAATATTAAATTTAATAAATGTGTCAAGATCATTAGTTTCACTATTCTGGATCATTTTCATCCTAATAAATTAACCTGATACATTTACTTTACTTTAAATAAGCTATTTAGTGGTGTTGGTAAAAGGGTGGGAATACTGAATTTTCATAAGATTTCAAGTTAAAATTTACCTAGCAAAAATGAAAACTTTTCAAATCTGAAGATATCACATGATTCTGCACCAGAACTACATCATTAATACCATGGGCCGATTTTCAAAATTAAGCCTCCATTGTACACCTAATGGGTATAGTTATGGGGTGGTTATGGGGGGTAGTTAAGGGTGTAGTTAAGGGTGTACAATGGATTAATGCAAAATACAGGTGTTAAATAAAACAATTGTTGACTTTATTACATTATTAATAAATGTTTGTACAAATGTTATACCACGACTAATAACTTGTTTGTTACTCACGAGCTGTTGTGAGTTTAGGGAAACACCAGTAGCAAAATATATCCTTAAAAGTATTAAAAAGAGTTTTAAGTGACGGCAGTTATAGTGACACTATAGTGTATCATGGTGATTAGTGACACTATAGTGTGTCGTGGTGGTTATAGTGACACATACTGTATAGTGTCATGGTGGTTATAGTGACGCAGTGTCATGGTGGTTATAGTGACATATAGTGTCATGGTGGTTAGTGACACTATAGTGTGTCATGGTGGTTATAGTGACTATAGTGTGTCGTGGTGGTTATAGTGACACATACTGTATAGTGTGTCGGTGGTTATAGTGACATATACCTGTAGTCATGGTGGTTATAGTGACACTATAGTGTGTCATGGTGGTTATAGTGACATATAGTGCCACTATAGTGTTGTGGTGGTTATAGTGACACTATAGTGTGTCATGGTGGTTAGGTTAGGGAGGGTTGGGTGATTTTGTTTTCTTTTACACAGAAAACGGGGTAGGTTAAGTTAGGTGACACAGGGATGGTGGTGAGATGATGGTGACATAAGTGATGGTGACACATAAGTGATGTTGACATAAGGGTGATGGTGACACAGGTGACAGTGACATGATGGTGATGGTGACAAGTGATGGTGATGGTGACATAAATGATGGTGACACTTAAGTGATGGTGATGTGATGGTGACATGATGGTGATGGTACAGTGAACTAGATGGTCAACACAACACCACAGTCAACCACAGTCACCTCCCTGATGTTACTGTGGTTGACTGCTGCCTTCACCACCTCCAGGCCGCTCTCCACCTTACCAAACACCTCAATGAGCCAACTAGAGCGGTACCTGGTGGAGATGCTGAACTGTACACCCCGGGTATCACCACCATAACAACACCCCACATCCCCCGCACTCCCTGACACGCGGTAATCACCCTGGAGGTCAGGCAGTAGTGGGGCTCCTCCCTTACCATCATTATACTGGTAGTCTCCACCCACCACACACTCCCCCTCTCTACCCTTGTTACACACCTTCAGAAAGTTTGTGTTGGCGTAGGTGTGGCCCCGCTGGCCCGTACACAACAACGTAAATTGTCTGCCTCGTGGAGTGTCGGGGCTAAGCCGGATGTGAACCCGGCCTCTTGTTGACCCGGCCCAGCCCAGGTCAAGAAATACCAGGGTGGAGGAACAGTCCAGGGCGCCCACAAAGTCGGTGAACTACAAACACAAAAATAATGATCTTATAAATGTAAAATTGAACATATTAACATCAACTTATTTAAATGAATCATGAGTTCATTATTATTGTCATATAATAAAATTGGTAATAATTAGAGAGTGTGAAATAAAGTAACCTGGATGGTGTGGGCGTGAAGGGGCGCGGGCTGGCTCTGGAGTGTGTGCAGGTAGAGCCGTCCATACTGTGTAGTTATCCTGGAGGAGCGGAGGCCGTGTTGGTCTTGGTGGACAGCATACACCCGGCCAGCCTCCACCTGCCTCTTGACACCCTCAGTCATCCTGCCCAGATCATCAACCTGTGGACAGTACCACGGCCATTATCCTTACCTAGTAACAATTACTGCTTGAATAATAATAATAATAATAATAATAACAATAATAATAATAATAATAAAAAAAAAAAAAACAGAATCCACTGAAATCACATTGAATAGACAAGAGGTTTTTGTCGACTTCCTTTCTGCCCCAATGTCTGGAGGGTCCAATAACTTATTTTTCTTAGCAGAACAAGGCTTGTCTAAGTGGGGATTAAGTCTCTTACCTAACACCAATAAACCTAAACTTTCTGCCAACTTGGGATTCGACATAGTACAGGTTGACCATAAAAAATCCGGCAATCAATAAACCGGAACCTTCATTTTTCCGGCATGGATTTCGGAGCGCATTTTCATATATTTCTTTGTTTATTTAATGAAGATATATGTTTTAGCTCATAAAATTCATACAAATTACCCGGCCAGAATATAATTTACATTGCTGGAATTCTTACAAGTTGATGATCATTTTGAATATAAACATCATAGATTTTGCATTAGACATACAAATTTTAGATATAATGTTTACTCTGAGTAAATACGTTATCTTTTGTGCAAAATATGACATTTATATTCAAAATATTCCTGGTCTTACAAGGAATCCAGCAATGTCAATTATGTTATCCTAACTTCAGTCTGAGGTATTAATTATTACTAAAAAGGTAAATAGTCTGGTTTTCCCACACATTTATCTGGTAGGGAGGGTTAGTGGGGGGTGGGGAGGGACCGTCCGACCATCTGGCACGGTGTGAAGAATATTTTTTTTTTTTTATTAACTTGAGATATTTGTTTTAGCTCATAAAATTCATACAAATTACCCGGCCACAATATAATTTACATTGCTGGAATTCTTACAATTTGATGATCATTTTGAATATAAACATCATAGATTTTGCATTAGACATACAAATTTTAGATATAATGTTTACTCTGAGTAAATATGTTATCTTTTGTGCAAAATATATGACATGTTTATTCAAAATATTCCTGGTCTTACAAGGAATCCAGCAATATCAATTTTATTATCCTAACTTAAGTGTTTAATTGGCTTTGTTTAAAGGACTGTACAGGTAGTCATTTTCTGTTAAACTTATACAGCAAATATATCCATCAGTTTTCCGGCATTTTCGAAAATCCGGCACTCCTCAGGTCCCAAGGTTGCCGGATTTTTGATAGTCAACCTGTAATAATAATAATAATAATAATAATAATAATAATAATAATAATAATAATAATAATAATAATTAAAATAACAATCATAATAATAACAAAAATAATAACAATAATAATAACAATAATAATAAAAATAATAATAATAATTATAATAACAATCATAATAGTAATAACAAAAATAATAACAATAATAATAATAATAATAATAAAAATAATAATGAATAATCATCATAATAACAACAACAATAATAATAACAGTAAAAAAAAAAAAATAATAATAATAATAATAACAATAATAATAATAATAATAATAATAATAACAATAATAATAATAATAATAATGAAGGCACGACCAAAAAGCCATTTGTTGGTTTATGAAGGCACGACCAAGGAGCCATTTGTTGGTTAATGAAGGCACGACCAAGGAGCCATTTGTTGGTTTATGAAGGCACGACCAAGGAGCCATTTGTCAGTTTATGAAGGCACGACCAAGGAGCTTTTGTTTTTGTTTGTTGGTTTATGAAGGCACGACCAAGGAGGCATTTGTCAGTTTATGAAGGCACGACCAAGGAGCTTTTGTTGTTGTTTATGAAGGCATGACCAAGGAGCCATTTGTTGGATTATGAAGGCACGACCAAGGAGCTTTTGTTGGTTTAAGAAGGCACGACCAAGGAGCCATTTGTTGGTTTATGGCGCACGACCAAGGAGCCATTTGTTGGTTTATGAAGGCACGACCAAGGTGCCATTTGATGGTTTATGAAGGCACGACCAAGGAGCCATTTGACAGTTTATGAAGACAAGACCAAGGAGCCATTTGACAGTTTATGAAGACAAGACCAAGGAGCCATTTGACAGTTTATGAAGACAACACCAAGGAGCCATTTGTCGGTTTATGAAGGCAAGACCAAGGAGCCATTTGTTGGTTTATGAAGGCACGACCAAGGAGTCATTTGTTGGTTTATGAAGGCACGACCAAGGTGCCATTTGACAGTTTATGAAGGCACAACCAAGGAGCCATTTGTTGGTTTAAGAAAGCACGACCAAGGAGCCATTTGTTGGTTTATAAAGGCACGACCAAGGAGCCATTTGTTGGTTTAAGAAAGCACGACCAAGGAGCCATTTGTTGGTTTATAAAGGCACGACCAAGGAGCCATTTGTTGGTTTATGAAGGCACGACCAAGGAGCCATTTGTTGGTTTATAAAGGCCTCAGAGAATGCACGAGGAGTGTTTTGAATATCGAAGGTGACCCCAAAGACTTGCCAGAGCAACCAAGAGCACATATAAGGATTAAAAGAGTACAGGTAAACCTCCAGGTACTATATCCCGATCGGCAATATTCCGTTTTAACGACAGTCATAAATTAAGACCGTCTCGCTATATACGATCAAAATAACTCGCTTTAACGATACCCGTCGAATGGCGGTCGATATCCATCGCTTTGAATTTCTTTATCTGGTGCAAACTACGGGTTGTACTGTACATAGAGGCATACCTGGAGATACGATGGGGTTATGTTGTTGAAGAACCCATCGGCAGGTGAATTATTGTAAATGGGGAGCATTATAGCATGGGGTACATTCCCAGCCAGTCCCCCAACACTTGTATCACAGACAAATAAAATGTTGCAATACTACTCTCTGTAGATAACAACACTCACCACATCATAATTGACAAGTCTGGTCATCATTACTTGTCCCTTTGAGGCTAAGGGGACTCTTGTAGGTGGAGTGGAGACGTCACTCTGGGGAGTCCGGAGAGGATGGAGAGAGTGGGAGTCGGAGTCCTAGAAGGGTCTTCTACAGTGGGGGCTGGAGGTGTAGGCTTTGGCTTGGCTTTAAAGAGGGTGAAGTTCCTGGGTGGGACTGGAGAGGTGTCAGCAGTGGAGGGTTGTGGCTCTGACTGTAACAGGGGTTTGAAAAAGGAGGTGATTGTTGTCTGACGCGCCTCCTTCTTCTTAAGGTACAGCTCCATGTAGCAGAGTATGCCCTTCACCACCACTGCCCTCACAGATGAACTCCTGTTGATGTTGGGGGTCATTCTCAGCCAGCAGATCCATGGCAGTGTTCATGTGGTCCATGGCAGTGCTCAACACCTTCAGAGTCAGTGTCGTGGGTGCAGGGTTGTCCTCCTCACCCGTTGACTCCATTCTCTGCTGCTGTTCCAGGAGCAGCAGGTCCTCTGTGCTGAGCTCCTCAGAGTGGCTCTCCAAAACCTCAACCACATTCTCTTAATCGACCTCCTGGGAGATGCCGGTGATGTTGCAGCGTACGGCTACAGCGTCGGTGAAGCCGCTAAAGTCGCACTAGGACCACACTTTTCACCACACACTCTTCATGCAGCTCTGTGTGACCTCCTTCCACGACTTCTCAATGTTTTGCATGGCGTGCTTGATGTTGTAGCTGTGCCAGAATTCTTTGATGGTCACGTTTCCCTCTCCATCTGTTGCCTCAAACAGCTGCTTCATTAACCTCCTCAAGTAATCGGCCTTGAAGGATGTGATGACGCTCTGATCCATTGGCTGGACGAGCGAGGTGGTGTTCAGGGCAGAAACATCACACTGATGTTGTCGGTCCACTCACCCATCCCAGGCAGGTGCGAAGGTGCATAGTTGAGGATCAGGAGTAACTTGTTGGTGATGTTCTGCTTCTTGGCATACTCCTTGAGGTGCTTGGAGAGGTAACCAACCATATAACTCTGGCACAACACCGTCATTACCCAGGCCTCCTTGTTGGAGCACCAGATGACTGGGAGGTGCTCCTTAACCTTCTACCGCATGAGATAAGTTTTAAAGTTTTCCAGTTCCAAGGTTACATCTCTGAGGCCCCCATGCCAGGCGAAACAGCTTTATCAACCCCAATAAAACTTATTTTTATTGGCATAAACCATATACTGGGTGTCTATAAAGTCCCCATACTCAAAATTTGGCAATTTATAGGAGTATAATGGAGAACGATAGCCATCCACGGTTTCACGCAGCACGTGCTGGCAACGTCGCAGAAGATTGCCGAGTAATGTACCGGTCAGGTGACTTCGTTCAAAAGCGGGTAGAGGGACGCAAGTGTGAGTCGGTTGACAATGAGCCTTCCACGGGTACAGAAGGTCACTCTGTTGGAGGCGTACTTTGATTGCAAATGTAATCAATGGTGTGTTGAAAGCTTTAGGAGATTCCCCAATAGCCCAACACCATGTACGACTATTGTTTATGAACCGGTGAAACATTTTCGTGACACAGGAAGTGTGAAAGACAGACCAAGAACCGGATGGCGGTCAGTAGTGACACCAGAGTTTGTTGCAATCTATATCACTGCACAAAACCTGATGAGCCCCTGTAAATGTACTAGTGAAGGGGACTGTACCTATACACATCTCACTCACATTAACTGAGTGAAAATATTACTGTAATGTACAGTATTAACCTGTAGTGTACTGTACAGTGGTCCCTCGGTTAACGAGCACAATCCGTTCCAGGCGGTTGCTCGTTAACCGAAAAACTCGCTAACCGAAACCATTGTTTCAATGGGTTTTTAGGTAATTGGTTCCAGCTCACTAAAAATTGCCTAAATTCAACAAAAAAGGTAGAAAATTTCACTTACTTTGAGATGTGTATGTAGAAGGCTCCTGGATGATGATGATGATGTGAATTTGAAGTGGGAGGTGGAGGAGAAGGGAGAAGGGAGAAGAGAAGGAAGTGGAGGTGGAGAAGCATTTTACTGCTTCTTGGAAGGTGAGTCACCTTCCATGAAAATGTCAGGAACCTCTGGACTGACAGATTCTCCACCAGGAAAATCCTCTCTCCTTCTTGAAGTGG